TTCCGAGTGTTCTGGTAACGAAGGTGAAAAGTCAGTTCTCCCTAGTCAAATTATCCTCCTCTTATTTTTAACTCAATTGTGTAATTCTTAGAGTCATAAATTATTCCCTAAGATGCCTTTATTTTGTTCCCTAGGTTAAAAAACCGCATATTAAGTTTCCTATGAAGCCTGATGCAAATATAGTTTTATGTGGTAGTTGTCGTTTTGTTTCTGTAAATGGCAGTATAATTCATATCAATGGCTTTGAGTCATATGGGAAGAAATAATACAGAAAATTAATACTTTTGCACTGTTACTAATATCTTCACTTCACAGGCTCTAAACTGTGTGTATTACCTTTTGTTTTTAACATTTCTCAGTATACGTAGCTTACATTAAAAACAGTAGAAACAAATGCTAGTGGTATGCAAAGTTTGAAAAAGCTTTCAAAAATGTTTGTATGAAAACTGGATTAGTAGATGGAACTTGAATTGAGGGCAAGAGTAGTGAATGGAGAGAAGGGGATATGTATATTGATCAGCATGAGACAGTGTGGCATAGGTTGGAGGACATAATGTGATACTTAAAGAGCCTTATTTAGAATCTAATTAAATTGCTCTTTCAGATTGAACTCTTCAAGAAAGCAGGCTGGACTGTGATTCGCCCCCCAGTGCCACTCATTCCAGATGGTATATTCACTCTTTCTTTTCTAAGAATTCCAAGAGTATTCTTAGGAGTATTAATATGGAGCAACCTTGGTACAGTAGAAGACTAATTCTCATGTGTTTAGATCACCCACTCTGGATGTCCTCTAAATGGCTGTCCATGAATGTCCTAATGCTGGATGAGAAACGTGTGATGGTGGATGCCAATGAGACATCAATTCAGAAGATGTTTGAAAATCTGGGTATGTCTTAACATATTTCACCATGTACTTAAACTGAAATGAACTCGATACCAGCTATACACATCAGGATGAATGGAGGTTTCACTTAAAGTAGTCAAAGCAGCCAGCACTGGAAAAGGTATTCAAACAATTAGTTTAGCAAATAAGAATCATTCAGTTATTTGTCTCCTGAATACTTCAGTCACATGAATATGAGCTTCTTAGATCTTGTGCCCCCTACAGCTTGCAGCAAATAAAGGTATGAATAGCATTTAAAGTTACTGCTAGCATGCTTTTGAATGAGCTTTTTAATGTAAAACTGTCTGTTCTGTTTGGAGGTCAAAATTTGTCTTGGAGAGGTTGAGTGTGCATATTGCTGAGTGATGTATAGCTGGCTATCCCTTACTGCCAAATGCTCTCAGATTTCTCTAGTTTCAAATTCATTGTACTTAAGCCTGTCAAATTAAGACCACTTAGCCCAAGTGTTTCTGCTCATTTATGGAGAAACTTAATCCTGTGAGATGTTACATCACGATAGGGTGGAATTCCTTTAGAATATGCAGTGGCAGGAGAACTATAATTGAATATAATATCTGAAAGTCTTATTACGCACAGCTCACTGCAATGACAAATAATGACTTAATCGTACTTAAGCCTGTCAAATTAAGACCACTTAGCCCAAGTGTTTCTGCTCATTTATGGAGAAACTTAATCCTGTGAGATGTTACATCACGATAGGGTGGAATTCCTTTAGAATATGCAGTGGCAGGAGAACTATAATTGAATATAATATCTGAAAGTCTTATTACGCACAGCTCACTGCAATGACAAATAATGACTTAATCTGACTTAATCTGAACTCCTGCAGTTAATCCAACTTTAAAGAGGTAGGTAGACCTACTTGTGGCTCTTAGTTGGTTAGGAAGACAGCAGCCAGATTTGTTTGGTGCTACAGCCAGCTGACTGTTGCTGCAGGATAAGTACATGGTGATGCAAGAGTTGACAGAGTAGAGACAAGACTGGTGGGTAGATGAGAAGTCAAGGGAGTTGAGGGATCATTGTATTGCAGAGTAAAAGATAATATTCCCCAGTAGCAGAAGACTGCTTTGAAAGGAGAAAAGTGATGGGAAGGAGAGAATGATCCACAGGTAGAAGATAGCAACTACAGGGTAGAACCTAGAAGGCGGCTTGGTGCCATGGGTGTGAGTGCACTTATAGAAGCTTCCCTCAAATCTGAGGTGATTGCAGATGAGAACCATGCAATCTAACACTTTAAACTGCTTTTAAAGACTGGCTATATAATCTGTTAGTGAATCACTTAGCTTTTCAGTCTTAGGTTGTTTTAATTCTCCGCATGACCAAGGAGCTGAGGATTTATAAATGCTTGAAAGTACTTTAAAAATGAAGCTATTAATGTTAATCATGACATATCTTTCACACTTGAACTTCAGTCTGGGTGAGTTCTAAATAAACTCCTGCAGTCAGCAAGTTACTAGGACTAAGATGGGTCTACTGGGAACAAAACTATTGCTGACCTAGGTGATGGATTCTACTGAGCTGCTCCTGAAAGTACCAAGAAGCAAAAAAGCAAACTTCATAACAGAAAAGTTTTCTGATCCTAGTCCACCTGTCAGGACTCTGTATAAGCTGAGCCACAGCTGAAACATCAGAGCTGAAAAGTGGGAGAAAGCTTAACCTAGGTAATAAGTATAACAGCTTCTTTTCCCTCTCAGAGAAAGAGGGACACAGAGCTTTGTACTTCGAATGTTTCTTTTCTTTAAAGGTTCTTGAAAGAGCACATTCAGTGTGTGAATCATAAATGCTAACACAGATTTATGTAAATGTGCCCTGGTCATATATTGTAGCAGAATTTCAGCTAATTCTTCACATAACGCAAAAACTGAATTTTTCTCTTCATTACTGGCACATCATAAAACATCAAACACTGGCTGTGCTCCAGGCACTGTATATTCCTGAGCATATCACCGGAATAAACACGCCAGCTATGTTCCCATCTTGTTCTCTGCCTAGAATTTGGGAAAATAAATTCTTAACAAATGGGTAGGAAATACTTTCTGTACTTGCATCTAGTCCTATGAACTGATAAAACATTATCTACTGTTCTGATCAAAGCTTACCACATGAATTTGAGTTTTTCAATTTAAAGTATGCAATGTATGTTTCTTGCAGGCATTTCTACAATTAAAGTGAACATTCGCCATGCCAATTCACTGGGAGGTGGTTTCCATTGCTGGACATGTGATATCCGCCGCCGTGGTACCCTGCAATCTTACTTTGACTAGTTGTGAGCTGGATAGGTAACAATGGTTCACCTTCTAAAATAAGGATAGGAAATGAACAAATTAATTTCACTTTTGTTAAAAAACCGTGTGAGCTCTAGTGCTTGATCAGTGGTGTCCTTACAGTGGTCTGGTAAACGGGTTATTCTCACTTTCAGCAGTATGATTGAAACTATTCCCACCAGCAATACTGGTTCTCTGGCTGGCTTTTTGAAAGACGTCCTTCGTCTATGACATCTTTTCACATTGGCTTTGAATGTAAAAACTTGGCAAGAAAGCTACAAGGTCTTGCTAGAAGAGCTTGGCCACTAATATTGGACATCTACCTCTATCTAGTTACTCTTATCAAATAGGCAGCTTGAAATGTTAAACTTGAGTAAACATTTCTTATTCCTTTTAATCAGTCTATTGTTCTAATATATTCATGTTTAATGAAGTTAAAATAGATTCAACTATACAGATTTCTTATGGAACCAAGTAATTTAATAGTGTTTTTCATGTTGAGCCATTCAGATAGTTACAAATTTCCAGTATGATATAACTTTTAAAACACACCTACTTGCCATGTCCTTCTACATTTTCTTATTCTGATGCATTTGTCATATCCGAATACTTTTTTATATTGCTTTTTTATTGCTGAAATTTGTTTTATTTAACTTTTTAAAGTGTACAAATGATAACTAATATTCTGCTTGTACAGGTTTCACTCTGAATTGTTTACATAGCTTACAAAAAAGAGCAAAACAAAAACAAAACCACCAACTACTCCCCTTCAACCCTAAACCTCTGATATCTTACAAGCCCTTCTTCCTCCAACTGTAGCAGATACATCTTTCTGTATCAAACAGATACAGAATGCTGTGTTGCCAGATGCTGTGAAGGGATTTTAGTGTCAGTTACTGAATATGTACTTTTTATGCTAATAAAGTTTTTGCATCCTTGATTTGTTGCCCTTCTTCTGAAAATGAGTATGCATGAAATCTCTAGATTGGTAGATGTTTGTAGAATAGAGATGGAAATACAAAACAGACATAGATGTTTTTCTGTAAAACGTGTAACACCTTAAGCACTTGTATAATGCAGGAAACCTTTGTGCTCTATTGCTCACACAGTATGATTCTGCTATTTTGCACAGAAGTATGACTAGTGGAGGAAAGTGCCACTAACAGATGTTTCTTACCAGAGTGTGGAGGAATCTATTAATTCACACAATGCAGAGTATCTTGATAGAAAAGGCCTTGCCCAATCAGATGTCAGGCATAACATACTCATGTATAAACTAGCTGTATGGCCATATTTTACCTAGACTTGTGTAGGGTTAAACAGCTTGTATGTCAGCAATCCAGAGTGCTTTAAGAGATGCCAGACTGGAAGAGCTAATGAGACAGTTGCCAGCACTTGACCATGTAGAGATGGTCCCTCTTTTCCCTTTAAAAATGAAGGGTCTTTAGACAATGGAAATTCATCTGAGTTTTCTATAACTAGGCTTCGCTTTCCAATATTGACAATGGAGCTGAACAGCTGTGTACATTGTTCTGTATGCTGAAATGATGTCCATGGGGTTTGTGCTCGGTGTAAGCAATGACAAGATACAGATGAAACCATTAAAAACTCTGGCTAAATGTGATCAGTAGCAGGACACATGCACCCCTGATACCTCCAGGATTAAGAAGGCTATTTTCAGTCATGTTATACATGATTCCTACTTGACAGGGCAGTGCTGCTTTCTATGGACGTTACAAATGCTTTGACTTTGCTTGTGGGCAATTCCAGGGAACCATGGTCTTTGAATCTACTCAACACTTCTGTGTTTTCGTAGGGTTTTAAAGTAAGTATAGTAATTATTACAACACTTCTGTGTTTTCGTAGGGTTTTAAAGAAAGTACAGTAATTTTTTCTTTAATCACCAATACATAAGCTCTAATGCTGGCACAAAGCTGTCTTTACAGCAGGTCTTCAGTTCAATTTAAGAAGCTGAAATAACCAACACAACCAAACAAAAGTACTGACTAGGACGTTTAGGCCAGTCTGAGTGTCTTCTGTCCAGCTTCTCCCTCTCCTCAATGTCAGGGTGTCCTCTCCTCCTGCTGCAGTGCAGATCCCTGTGTTTGTCTCTTCTCTTGGATCCTTTGCATATTTTCTCCATCTTCTTGATTTCTCAGTGCTACGATGTCTCCAGAAATCGGACTCTTCTGCACCCAGTCTGGCTTCACCATGGAACTGCTCTTTGTCTCTTGGGATTCATTGCCTGGTCTGGGAGTCAAATCATGGCACCTGAAAAAACAACAGTGATGTCAGTCTAGGGTTGTTCCTGCAGCTTCCTTGTGACTTCAGTCTCATCCTGTTGTCATGTCAAGTGCTGCCAGAAGATACGCAGAAGACTGAACCGGTACTAGGTGCTGGAAATTAGATCATAGTCTTCCAACATGACACGCAGAAGACTGAACCGGTACTGGGCGCTGGAAATTAGATCATACTCTTCCAGCCATGTCTGTCCCTTTCAGAGCAGAAACTCATCTTTATGCCCTCTTGGACCCCCATTTCACGTTTTGTTTGCTCTTAGCCAGTCTCACAGAGCAAGACAGCTAGCAATTTACACAAGTGCAGCAGTCTAGTGCCAGACAAAGAGAGAGAAGAACGGACTTGGCGAACTCTCCTGGGACAGAAAGCAAAGCCCACGGGAGGAGAAAAACAAGACAGGAAAGAGAGTGTGTTCTGAACACCCTTTCACACTTGTTCTTACCTGACATAGAAGAGTAAATATGCATGCTGGCAGAGAACTGTTTTGATGTCACACAGAACCACAGACTCACCATCCATCCTGTACAACTGTCCATCGCTGGCCTGCAAAGAAATGCAATGTTCTCTTTAGACGGACTGCAGGGTTTTGAAAACCAGAACACAGACGGGACACCATGGAAGGATGCAATACACCAACGCAAATCACCAAGTTGTCTTTTACCTTGACAAAGCAGTAGTAGTGTCCCACCACACAGCTGGAACCTTGATGTACCAGGAGAGCACACAAGGAATAGAGCACTGGTTCTCCAGCCGCTTGACACATGTACGTCCCAAGGTCCAAATGTTCTGGATACTGCACAACCTGAAGACACACCAAGACGACTCAAAAATTATCTTGAGAGTCTTTAGGAAACAGCCTGAGAACACCTTGTCACCAAGCACAGGCTAGAGGCTGTATGTATCTATACAGAAGTAGATCTTCCCTGTTCATTCAAAACAGGTATTGCCATTTCATTATTTAAGTGGCAGCAGAAGTGTTCTTGGCCAAACCAGCTCTTTACGAGCACAGTAGGTGCTCATCTTCACACTGGAACTTCCCCCTTACTGCAAGGCCCAGCTACTGCATTGATTTTTCTTAGACGCCTGCACTCGCTAGTGACCCCATGCAGATGCCAACAGCTTCCAAAAAAGGATTCTCCTTTGGGACATATCTCCTTCCAAGAAAGTTGTAGTGCACTTGTATATATACCTTGCTAATCTTTCTGCCAGAGAAAGCATCAAATCTCTTCAAACATAATGTCAGCACATTGGAAGCACAATACATTGTGAGCCTCTTGGACACAGAGCCCAGCTGTTCACACCTTGAAAACAAGCACAGACCCAGTAGCTGCAACGTTATCTTCTCTACATCCCCAGCCCAACAAGCTACTGTTATGTGGTCCCCACAAAGGCAGGACATACAGAGTAAACAGGGAAGTTCTGCTACTGTCACAGAGAACCACAGAGCAATAGAATCATAGAATGGTTTTTGGTTGGAAAAGACCTTTAAGATCATCAAGTCTAAATATCGATCCAGCCCTACATCTGCCACTAGACCGTGTCCCTAAGCATGACATCTCCTCGCCTTTTAACACCTCCAGGGCTGGTGACTCCACCACCTCCCTGGGCAGCCCCTTCCAGTGACTGACAGGTCCCATCTGGCTGCGCTGATTGGCTCAGCCGTGGAAAATCAGCTGCTGCTGCCGGACAGGGGCAGGCTGGGCCTCCTCTCTGCTCCCAGAGGGGTCCCCCCGCAGCTCCTCAGCCCCGTGAGATACTGGGTCTGTGCAGATGTGGCCGTCGAGAAGGACCATGGCCCCTGAAGTTGTGCTTTCGGCAGTGCAAGTGGTGTGCGCAGCTCTGCTGATCCTCGTCGCAGTCCTGGGGCCAGGACCTGCTTGGGGAAGGCGAAAAGGGGAGGGTTTGGAACATGAAAGGAGGGAAGGGGAGCTGGTATGGGTTTCTCTGGATCCGCAAGTCATTCCCAAAATGAGGTCTGTGTATGCTCCAGACACAGCATTGGGTAGGAGGAGCTGTGTGACAGGAGCCGCTTGCATCACCCAGACCAGCCCCTGGCAGGAGGCAGGGCTGTGCCCCTGGTCACACTGCCCATGCTGAGTCCAGCACCCAGGGCCTTCCTCAGGTCTGACCTTCACAGACTTCTCCTCCCATTTTCCCTCCTCTTGTTCCTCCTCCTCCTCCTCCTCCTCCCCCTCCTTCTCCTCTTCCTCCTCTCATTTCTCCTACTCCTGATCTTCCTCCTGTTCTGCCTGATGACACCTCTGCACCCCTCTCCCTGCCACTGCTGCCAGTGTCTGGCCATGAAAAAGGACTGTCATCTTCAACTGTGAGTCCCTGACATTGCCAAGAGAGGGAAGAATGTGGCACTTTTTTCTCACAGCCTCATTTTTAGGGTTCAAAGCTGTG